CGCACTCGGGAGAGTGCGGCGCTGGGAGAGCAGCAGCGCTCCCGCCGCGGGTTCGGATCCTATATAGGGATGGCCGGTGCACTTACAGCGCTCGCTGGCTGAGCACGGTGCAGCCAGTCTCAAAAAGGAAAAAAAAAAAAAAAGAAATATGCTCTTGTAGCTTTAAAGTTTAGCAATCAGTAAATTGTAAACTACTAAAAAAGAAAAAAAAAGTCCTGAAATCTAGTCCCATTACACTGTTTCAAATTACCCTGGCTCTAAAGGAAAGGCAGTCTTAAAAAGAGCAGTTTTAAATTGATTAATTTACTAACATTTGCTCTTATAAGTCTCAACATATATTTTCCTGCCATTTTTGTATGTGGTAGGAGTTACATTTTTCAGTGGAATAGCTTCAGACATCTCTGCAATTTTTATGAAAACCACAAAGCTATCTGGTGATTCTTGTATCATCCATTTAAACACCAAGATGACAGTGGTCATTGACATTTTACAAGATTAGAATAGCTTCTTGGTAAACCTGTGTACATTTTCTTTTAAACAGTGACTTACTTTGATACCCAGTTACTCGAAATTCCATGTGCAGCAAAAATAGTAAACTGGAGCTGTTCTGCTGTAGTCCAGGCTTCCTTGATGTTCCTGCTACTTTGGGCACAGTCTGCAGGACTCCTACCAGAATTTGCATGGAGTCTGAGAAGATCATAAATTGCCGCAGTTAATTGGTCCATGCTGACGTGAACAGGATTTTCAGCATTCAGTGAGCCTAGATTTAAAGAAAATGTTAATATAATTCTCTGAAAAAGCAAAGATTATTGCTAAAATTTAAAGAATTTAAAGACATACCCCCAATTGAATTCTTGCTAGTGTCTCCTCCTCCAGACAGTGAAGTCTCCTGCACATATACACAAATTAGTCTGAAAACTGCCCATGATGTATATAAAATGTTTAACTTTATCTTCAATACCTTTAATTAAAAACTATATCAAAGAAACCCTTCCCAGGGGGAACTTTCCAAAAGTGTCTTCAGAAATAATAAGACAATAAATAATGAACAAAGAAAGGGAAAATCCCAAACCAACTAAATAGATGATTTTTAGTATCAAGAAAATCAGAATAACTGAACAATACTGCTAAATATAGAAAACAAAATCTGCCTTGTTAAACCAATTAAGTAATTAATATTAACTTGAAATCCGGAAGTGATAAGTACACTAATATAGTATTTTATCCTTAAAGACAAGAATCTAGAACTCATCTATTATCATTTGGTGGCTCAAAAAAGCTCTTATAATTATTTAAATTAAGCTCCCCTACCACCTACTCTCTGCTCCTTTATCCGGTAAATGAGTAAAATGAATAGAAGCCTCAGACAACCTTAGGACCATGGTAGTTAATCACCTGCAAGTAATTTCATATATAATTTTTAATTTCTAAAAAGAAGCACATAATAAGAAAGAAGAAAAAAAGAAATCCAAATCTCTGTGTGCCACATGGATAGGATCTCTGTGAGAATGAATGGACTATCTCCTAGATATAGGGATACTCCATCGACCTAACTTTTTCTTTTAAATTTACAGTGGCTTACTAAATCTACCTTTTCTTTCGTCCTTCCAATCAAAGATATAAACATCCCTATGAACAGAATTAATTAAATTCCCATGGAAATACTATAAGGAAGAGATTTATTAAAAGCAATTGTATGACATAAAAGAGGGCTCTTTTTTTTTTTTTTGTCTTTTTTCCGTGTCCGGCAACGGATCGCAACCCTCAGTGTTGNCCTCGGTGTTGCTCCCGCGCCTCGCTCAGCCAGCGAGCGGGACCGGTCCGTATGTGGGATCCGAACCCTCGCCGCCGCGCTTCCCAAGTGGCGCACTATCCAGTGCGCCACCAGGCCGGCCCCAAAGAGGGCTCTTAAACTGGCTGCTTCTAAGGCTTTTTGGTCATTTCAACAGGGAGGGGATATGGTCCAAAGTAGAACTTCCCCCATTGGCAATCATGAACGTTTCCATCCAGAGGGAGAAGTGACAGCTATTACCTTCCAGGTCCTCTAAGCTCAGTATGTATTTTTAAACACCCAACCACCTCATGTATGCCAGAGGTCCTCCTCTACACACGGAGAGTTCACAGTTTGGCATCCAACTATTATTCAATGTCAGCTCTCACAAAGCTCTTCCAAGGCAGCCCATCTTTTTACCAAGGAATACCCCCAACCTAATGAATTACTGAACCAAAAGTAAAAGCCAAAGTTAAAATGATAATATTTTGTCCAGCTGAGGGCAAAAATCTCCCAGTTTAAGTGATAGATGCTCACTTAAGTATATATTTGTATGTAATAAAATGCTAGTTACTAAAAATACTCACATCAGCGCTTTTACTCCTTGGAAGATTAACTGCTCTCTTTAGCTTCTTTACTGATTCTGTAATGGCAAGAGTCTCTACACCATCTAAAGCACTACAGATTTTTCTTACAGCTTTAATTACTTGATCTACCGCTCGGTGCTGGTTCTTTAAAAATAAAAAGTAAAATAAACATAAGTATGTAAAATATATAGGTCCAATTTCAAAGATGAAGTCAGAAATTAGATATTTTAGATGTGCCTAAGAACAGATATCCTCTACTGTTTTGCAATGAAAAGAAAAGAAACAAGATAGATTTTCAACGATATAGTTTACTTTGAAGTAGAGAAAAGGTAAACTTGGTTAATTTTCATTTTGTCTGACACAATTATTCATATAAAAATACCATTAATTTTACATAATCTTTATTTATATCTCTAATTATACATAATCTTTATACATAATTTTACATAATTTTTATAATCAGAAGAAAAAGCAATAAATTACTAACAAATTACTAAATTATTTCTAAAAACCAGAGTTATCTTTTTTATTCTCATTTGGGAATAATTTCCACATTGAAAATGACTCTTCTCTCCCTCCTGCAGAAATCAAAAAACAAGTTCTTCAGAGGTTGGTCATATAACAACACTGGGCAACAGTTATTAGAAGTGTCAACTTTTAAGCATCATTTACGTCTGTACCACCATCACTTTAAAAGTTTGATAAAAAAAAAAATACCTCCTTGTGGACAATTCTGTATCATTTCATCACAGTTGATTTCACTATGATCCACAAGTATACATGTACAAATACATTGTAAAATTACTTACCTGATGAGAATGATTTAAAAATCCTTCCTTACTCTTTTTTTTTTTT